CGCAGGTCAGAAACCTTCAAGTTATTTTTGACTCTTTGTCTCAAACTTCACATCCATCACCACCTCTCTGAATATATATGTACGTATATCAGAATTTGACTACATCTCTTGACCTCTACTGCTACACTAGTTCACGTTACCATCAACTTTCACCTCAGTTATGGCAAGAGATTCCTCCCTGACCTTTGTTTCTGCCCTTTCTCCCCTTCAGTGTACTCTCAACCCAGTGATCAGTGTGATCCTATTAAATCGAAGGTCCCATCTCATTCTGCCCAGTGTCCTTACCTCCAGGACACCATTAGGATATGGCTTCTCGTGATTCGTTTGGCTTCATCTCTTACTTGTCTTCCGCTTGTTCACTCTGGCCTCAACAATGCTGGGCACACTTCCTCCTGAGGGCCTTTGTGATTCCCTTTGACTGTTCTCCGTTATCCACATACCTGATACCTCACTCCCTCACCTATTTTAGAGTTTTATTTAAATGCTTCCTTCTCAGTAAGGCCTACCCGGACCACTCTTTAAAATTGCAACCCCTTAACTTTCCCTAACTTCCTTCCTTTATTTTTCTAGTGTATTTATTACCGACTAATACACTATATATTTTTCTTATTTACATTGTCTATTTTTTCTTACCCCCACAGGAGGTACACTTCATATATGCAGGGATTTTTGTCTGATTGTTCTTTGCTCCATCTATAGCACCTAGAAGAACACCTAATCATAATGCATACTTATTAAAAACTATTGAATGCATGAACAAATGAATAAATAAACAAACTGCCAGTCCTGGCTCTGTCTTTTACTAAGCTTATTTCATCCATCAATGCAAATGTGCTGTATATGAAAGGAAATTATTACTACTTCTATGATAGCTTCTTTTTCTTTCTTGTTTTTAAGATTTTAATAATAGTTTTATTGAGATAATTCGCATACCATACAATTCATCTACTTAAAATATGCAGTTCATTGATTTTCAGTCTATTCAGGGTTGTGTAGTCATCACCACAGTCAATTTTAGACTGTTTTCATCACCACAAAAGAAACCCTGTAGTCAGTAATAATCAAGTAATAATCACTACCCATTCGCTAATCTTTAACCGCCTCCAGTCCTAGGTTACCACTAATCTACTTTCATCTCTCTAGATTTGCCTATTCTGGATATTTCATATAAATGAAATCATGTAATATGTGCTATTTTGTGACTGGCTTCTTTCACTTAGCATGTTTTCGAAGTAGATCCATGTTGTAGCATGTATGAGCACTTACTTTTTATGGCCAGGTAATATTTCATTTTATGAATATACCACTTCTTTCACATTTTGTTTACCCATTCATAAGTTGATGAACATTTGTGTACACGTGTTGTATGGACACATGTTTTAAATTTTCATGGGTATATACCTGGTAGTGGAATTGCTGGGTCATATGGTACCTCTGTATTTACCCTTTTAAGGCACTGACAGACCATTTTTCCAAAGCAGTTGCACCATTTCACAATTCCACTAGCAATATATGAGGGTTCCAGTTTCTCCACATCCTTGCCAACACTTGTTACCTGTTTTTTTGATTCTAGTCATCCTAGTGGGTATAAAGTGGTATCTCACTGTAATTTTTATTATTATTTCCCTGATACTTAATCATGTTGAGTATCTTTTCATGTGCTTATTAGCCATTTGTATATCTTCATTGGAGAACTGTCTATTCAGAGCCTTTGCTCCTTTTAAAATTGGGTTAGGGACTTCCCTGGCAGTGGTTAAGACTCTGAGCTCCCAATGCAGGGGGCCTGGGTTCGACCTGGTCAGGGACTAGATCCCACATGCTACAACTAAAGATTTGGCACAGCCAAATAAATAAATAAATATTTTTTTTAAAAATTGGGTTGTCTTTTTAATGTCTAGTTGTAATAATTCCTTATGTATTCTGAATACTAGATCCTTATCAGATATATGCTTTGCAAATATTTTCTGTCATTCTTTGGCTTATCTTTCTCTTTCATGATAGCATTCTTTGAAGCACGGCAATTTTCAAATTTTGATGAAATCAGTTTATGTGTTTTTATGTATTTGCTTATGCTTTTGGTGTCATATCTAAGAAACTATTGCTTAATCCAAAGTCAAGATTTATACCTATATTTTCTTCTGTTTTATAGTTTTAGCTCTTGAATTTAGATTCACCTTGAGTTAACTTTGTTTGTTTGTTTGTTTGTTTGTTTCTTTGCTGTTTTTGCGGTACGTGGGCCTCTCACTGTTGTGACCTCTCCCGTTGCGGAGCGCAGGCTCAGTGGCCATGGCTCACGGGCCCAGCCGCTTCGTGGCATGTGGGATCTTCCCAGACCGGGGCACGAACCCGTGTCCCCTGCATCGGCAGGTGGACTCTCAACCACTGCGCCACCAGGGAAGCCCTGAGTTAACTTTTATATATGATCTGAGGTAGGGGTTCGGTTTCTTTCTTTTGCATGTGGATATCCAGTTGTCCCAGCATCATTTGTTAAAAAGACTATTTTTATCCCCATTAAATTGTCTTGGCACCCTTGTTGAAATCAATGACTGTAAATTTGAGGATTTATTTCTGGACTCTCAGTTCTATTCCATTCATTATGATAACTTATACATTGCTGTGAGAAGTTTGAGTCAGATGGTTCCCTTTGAGTTGCATTCGTCTTGCCTAGGCTGTGTTCTTGTTAACTGGGCGCCTTATAGTAATAGTGATTTTCTGGAAGGCTGTTTACTTGGGAGAAGCTGTCTAGAAAGACACATTTTAAAGTTTCTCAATTCCCTGCTTAATTGGTGCTTTCTTTGCCTTCATGGAGTTGTAAAGGTCAAAATCTCTAATCGTGACTTTCTTTTTCTTTTGTCTTCTTGGCTCTCCTTATAGCTTCCCATTTTGAATTCATATTTTCCTCTTAGGGAGCTGTTTTGAGCCCCCATGGAATTTGAGAGCAAGGTCAAGTGAGTTGCATACATTTGTGCAAAATCTGGAGTTTCAGCACTGCATGGGCTTTATTATAATAAAGCCCTGTTCTAATCAAGTATATCCATAGTTGTCTAGGAGATTCTGGCATGTAGCCTGAAGGTAATAGGGCCAGCTGGCAGTCTTCTTATGGCTTGAATGCCATGTTGGACCACACAGGTACCTTTTCATCCCAGGCTATTAATCTTAGAAGTTCAGTTTCTAATCTTAGAAGTTGGAAACTCTTTTGGTGGAACAGGAAAGTGGAAAATCAGTTCTTATTGATGCTGTGTAAAGATTGCCAGGAATATCTATAGAATATACAGGTAATTCAGTTTGTCTGCTTTTCCTAGTCAGTTAACCAGGTGATAGTGAACCTCTATCCAAGCATGTATCCTCTTAAACTCCTAAAATACAGATTTAACTTAATCATCATTCAAGTACGTGTACTATGTAGATATTCATCCATGTAATCTCTCTCAAAATACCACTTTCCTATTAGTTTAACAGTTATTATGCTCTAGTTCTTTCAAGACACATACCAGTTGGATAATAAACACATAATTTTTCTTCAGAATTGTAAAATAAAATAATCAATTCTGTGCTTGCCATTGATTTAACAAATATTTGTACACCTTCAGTGTGCTGGGAAGAATGCGAGGTGTTATCTCTGTTAGTGTATTGGGAACCCTTGGCACAGTGTCTGGCTAGCATTTATAGGTGAAATCACTCACCTTTGTGATTGGCTTAGGACCTTCTTCCAGGTTTTCCCCCTACAGGTTAGTCCATGATTGGACTTAGCCAAACATGCTAACCATCAGAAGCTTTTATTCATCCACTTATTCAATAAATGTTGATAGAAAGCCTCCTGTTATGCCATATGCTGTGATTGCTGCTGGCGATACAAAGGTGAAGACTGACAGCTGCAGTCACTACCCATGGGCTAGGCATCATAAAATGATGTTGCTTATCAACACTAAAATAATTGCAACAGATCACTCTTATGTGACACATGGTACTATGAGAACATCTAATAGTCATCCATTCGTTAAACCAAAAAGCCCTAAGTGCCTACTGTGTGCTAGCACAGTTTGACTTGCGAAGATCAGGAACAGCTTCTGAGGGGATGTGACAGCTAAGCTGAGATCTAGAGAGGAGTGAGCCAGGTGAAGGGATAGTGGAAGCGCCTTCCTGGCCGAGAGCACAAAGGAAGAGGAAGAAAGCTAGTATGACAAGAGGCCAAGACGGGCAAAACCAGACTGAGGTCGGACCTTGTGGGCTGTGTTGAAGACTTTGCCCTTTGTCCTAAGAGCAAAAAGAAACCACTGAAATGTTTGAACCAGAAGTCACCTTTTTACACAAGCCTGTGACCTAGGTCTTAACTAGACAAGGTTAGCTCTTACACAGATTTGTTTTGAGATAGGAAATGTTAAAACTTTAAAGTTCTGTCTTATGCAGAGTGTGCTTTAGAATTACCTGGAGGACTTGTTAAAATAGCTTTCTGGGCCCCACTGCCAAGAGATGCTGTAGGTCTAGATGGTGTTCAAACTTTTGAATTTCTAGTAACTTCCCAGAAGATACTGCCGCTGCTGGTCCTACTCCTGGACCAGATTTTGAGTTGCAGTTAGTTAGAGCCACAGAATTAACTCACCTTTCATTTGTTATTGTTTTCCTCATGCGTAACCAGCAAAGGATCATTTTTAGTCATGTAGTAACAAGAAATATTTGCTTCAGAAGCTGTCAATATATTTTATAGAAGCACTTCAGGGCTATAAATTATACTTATCTGTGTGCCGTCCATGTGTATGATACGTGATTCTATGAGGCGATGTGGTGTATTCAATATTGGGCAGACATAGCCCCAGAAGTCCAGATACTTAAAATCAAAGAAATTGTGATTACCAAAACCTTATAAAAAGTTAAAGTACTACCTTGATAGCTGTTAAGATTTTGAAATTTAGAACAATATGATTTGGGTTTGGAAACAGTTGGTGTTTCAGCAAGAATAAATCTATTATGATTGAATCCGTTTTTTATTTTTATTTTTCTAGATCTAATTACTTGTTTAGACACTGCATCCAGTTTTTTGGAACCTGAGTTCAGGTATGACCATATTTGTGACTTTTTTTTCTTAAATGTTACTCTTCATCTGCTTCATCCTCATCTTATGTACTTAAGATTAATGTACATGGTGTGACTCATAGTCATTGTTCTGAGACATCAGTAAACCAGAGCTTATGTAAAACCACTGAGTTGCCATGTTTAAATTTTGCCTTAACTTTGAGCATTCGAATCTCCTCCACAATGGAAGTGTAATTTGGATATACTTTAAAAGTAGGACTAGTCACTCTTCAAAATCTGGCAAAACTCCTAATAAAGGTAGAAGATCCATTTATCTTTGCTCAAAAAGAAGTAACAGGATGGTTTAGGCTGTTAGAGAAATCCTCACTGTTCTTATCCAGGTGGCATTTTTATTAATGCTACCATTTCCCTGCTTTACACCTTTGTCTCTTGCTTGGACTGGGATTAACTTGTAATTGGTTTCCCTTTTCTAACCTTTGCTGGCTTTTTTCTGCTACTCACATTCTGCCAAGTTATTTTCTAAAATCTGTATTCGATCACTCCCCTGCTTTGAAATCTTCAGGAGCTACTTATTATGACAAAATGCCATCCCTATTCATTAGCCTGGTTTTCAGGGTCCTTCACAAGTAGTCTTTGGGCCATTTTTCTAGTCTCACGTTAACGTACTCCTGTTGAAACGTCCCTGGATTATTTATACTGCTCTGAGCTCTCAGAACTTTTGTCTGGAATCACTTTATTCTTCTCTGTTTAGCAAATTCATTCTCATCTTTGAAGACCCATCTCACTCACCTCCCCCAACTTGCTACTGCTCCCCAAAGAACCTTCATTTTGTCTTCAGGAATGGTTCTCTCTCTGTGGGCTGGTGGGGCTCTTCAGCCCTCGTCGGGGGTTGTGGCCAGCAGAGGTAACCCTGGCATCGGTGTATGTCACACAGCCCTGCCAGAGGATCAGCTGTCTTGGACCCTCCACTCTCCAGCTCCGTCATCATCACCCACATGCAAGCTGCCGTCCTTTCTCGCCAGGACTGCCTAACAGTGTCTTATCCTCCACTCATGGTCCTTACAGTCTCTTTTCTTTCCAGGAGCCAGAATAACTTTTTTAAAAAATAAAAATCAGATGATATGTATAGACCATCAAAATCCTTTGTTGACTTCCTCTTTTTACTTAGAAATATACTCCAAGACTCCTCACCACAGCCCCCCTGGCTTCTGCATGATCTGATCTCTGTCCCCCGTTCCAAGCTTCTCTCAGACTAACCTTACCTTTCTCACTGCACTCTACCTGCACTGGTTGTCCTCGGTTCCAGACACGCACAGGCCATCCCACCTCAGAGACATGCTTTTCCTTCTGGTTGCGGTGCACATCCCTGCACTGTTCCAATGACAGCTGGTGGTTCTCCGCTGAGGCTTCCCTTCCTCAGAGCCCCATCCACTGACCGAGGCAGTGCAGAGCCCTGCATATGAACACAAACTCTGGAGCCCGTCTACCACGACACAACTGTGTGACCTGGGCACACAGCTCATCAGTTTCCTCATCTGTAAAATGAGGATAATAATAGGGTTCTTATGTGGATGACTTGAAGTGTACATAGAATGTTGCCTGGGACATAGTAAGTTTGCTGAATGTTTGTATTACTTTTATTAAGTTAGATTCCTCCGGGTTATTTCATAGAGTGCCTTTTCTTTATAGCATAATCATAATCTAATCTAATTAATCATAATCTAATTAATCTAAAGTATCCATTTAATGTATTCTCCCACCACGGGAATGTAAACCCAGTGAGGATGGCACCATATTTGCTTGGTTGACCTTTGTAAACCCGGTACCTAGCACAGCCCAGCACTTAACAGACAATGTAATAGACATTCATGTAAATGTGTTAATAAGTGGGTAGGTGGATGAGTGAGTGAGTAAATAAATGAATGCCAAACATTTTTTTTAAATCGACTTAAATTTGATCAGTAGAGAGTTGGTGAAATAAATTGAGGCTCATCCACAAAGTCAAATGTAGCTATTAAATATTATGAATAGCTCTTACAGTAGAAATATGTCTGCCATTCATTATGAAGCAAAATAAAGCAGTATGTAGAATATGAAATAATTTTTGTATATATGTATGTGAAGACGTGTAAATGGTTGGAAGAAAATTTTAAGGGCTTTTTAGAAGTGGTGGTTCTCTCAGAGTGGTGAGATTATGGTATTTACATTGAACTGAAAACTGGGTAAGTGAAATTTTTTCGTCTTTTTCCCCAGAAAGTACAGAACTATATACCCTTTAACTTGTTTTTATTTCACAGCAAATACTGCCCAGCTGGTTGTCTGCTTCCTTTTGCTGAGATATCTGGAACAATCCCTCATGGATATAGAGATGTAAGTTGGATATAGACTTATGTTAAAGTGATGATAAAACTTCATTTTTTAAACTCCTTCATAGATAGATATGTAATCTATTGTATATCTTTATCTTGATTTTTATTTTCTAGGAATTACTTCTTTTTAGTAATATGTAACATTTTGTTTTTCTTCTGCTAAAAACCTGTTCTGTGTTGTATTATCAATAATCTATCCCATGTTTATTAAGAAAACTGCCCAGATCAATTAATTTCTAGAGGAAGAAGTATAAGTGTCCTGTTTATGAATTATCAAAAGAAAATTTAAAACTAATCTTTCATCTTTCCTCCCTGAAGTCCTCACCATTGTGCATGGCTGGTGTGCATGCAGGCGTAGTGTCAAACATTTTGGGTGGCCGGATTAGTGTCGTAATTAGTAAAGGCATCCCGTACTATGAAAGTTCTTTGGCTAACAACGTAACGTCTGTGGTGTAAGTATATATGCTGTTTATAATAAGCGTGTTGCATGGGGTGGGATAGGGATGAGTTAGACCTGAGCAGTATCACTGTTAATGGTGTTCATGAAATAACCTTTGTGTGATAAGGACAGACGTTGATGGTGTTCACGAAATAACCTTTGTGTGCTCGATATCTGAGTGTATTGACGAGTGCAGGCAAGGTCTTGCTATCTTGGCTTGTTCTCTGTCAGAAAGGTTGGTAGTCATTTGGAAGAGTGATTTGTTTCTTCTTTTCTAAGTGTTGAAAGAGCCCAGAGTGAGTCTAGAAGTATATTGCCAAATCCTTACTTCATTTTAAAGATCAGAAGGCATAACTAACTACTCTGTTCCTTATAGCCTGTGTGGCCCATGATGGATTAGGATAATTGAAACGCTTTGAATATAAATCAAATTTTGACATAAATCAGAGATAGTATTATGAATCCCTCTCATCCCAAGAGAATATTTTAAGAATGTATTTTCATGGTATTTATGATCTACTGTATTACAAAACATAGACTAGGCATCAAAAGCAGGAGAAATTGAAACATTGAATAGAAACATAGTATGAGTGATCTGTTTGTAAATCTTGTATCTTAGACATGCTCGGTCCTGCAGACAATAAGCGTAATTGAAGCCAGCTTCTCTTCAGGTCCTAGGCCGGTTTCATTCAGAAGGCCAAGAGTGTGATCCATACTCAAGACAGTATAAAGCAGGAGGCAGCAAACTTTTTCTGTAGAGAGCCCGCTAACAAATATTTCAGACTTTATGGGCCACATGTCTGTCACTCATTCTTTTTTGTTTTATTTACAACTTTTTAACTATGTAAAAACTGTTCTAAGCTTTCTGGCCATACAAAACAGGCCATGCATGGGCTGTCATTTGCTCATCCCTGCCCTAGAGTCAGCTACCTTTCCTTCCTCTGGTTTTTTCTGGATGATTTTATGCAGATTGTTTCATTCCTTTCCACTGTTATACCTTTAGAAAGAATTTTTTTCATGTGTTCTCTCTTTCATATTTAAAAAAATGGACAGGTTGCATCCATTTGTGATGGTTTGAGCGTTGTGCTAAAGGCAGGAGCATACACTGATGATTTTGATGATTTTATCCCTCCAAGTTCCTTAGGGCCCTTTGACCTGCCATATGGTGAACTAATAACTAATAATCCCACCCCTCCACTCTCCCCAAGCACCTATTCTGCCGGTTACTTTGAAATTCAAATGCAGTGCTACATTGTAACACTGAAACTTTTTCTTAGATACATTGATTTCCTGTAACAAATGCAGTCTCTCTTAGTAGTAGCCAGCTTTTCTTCTGTTTGCCCCAGGAAGCTTGAGCCTCTTTCTATGAGAATTACACTTTTCATTATATATTCCCAAAAAGCAATTGCCACAGTAACACTTTAGGAATCAATTTATTTCATGAAAAAGAAATAAAATAAGTACATATTGAAGGTTGCATGGATGCACTTGCATAATCACTTGTAGAGAAAATTGATTATGCTGTCTAATAGATAGCCATAGACGGTGCTTAGTGAAATAAAAACAGAAGAAAGCTTTGCTAAGACAAATATGAGGAAATCATGTGGTTATATGAGTGTCACCAAAAAAGTCTTTCTCTCTTTCAGGGGACACTTATCTACAAGTCTTTTTACATTTAAGACAAGTGGTAAGCCTCTCATGGACTTTATAACTTATCATAATTTGTATAATAGCCAGTATTTTTTGAACACTGTACATCAGGTACTTTGCCAATTGTTAAGTTGGGTTTTGGGGTTTTTTTGCACTTTCTCATTTAGTTATCACGAATAACTCTATGAGGTAAAATACGTGCTTAATAATTTAATGAATGGAATAAACTGGAGGTTTTAGATTAATAGGGAAATGATCATGTAAGCATGGAAGTTACCTTAGAAAAAGGGAATTTTGAATATGTCTGAAGTAATTAACTCAATCAACAGAAAATATTGAGTGCCTTTTTTCATTTGTCAGGCACTGTTCTGGTGCTAGTGAAACAAAAGTGAGCAGAATAAACAAAATTGTGCTTTCCTGGAGCTTACATTCTGGAAGTGAGAGATTGACAATAAACAGCGGATAAGTAAATGAATGTTTATAACGTCCTGTTTACAATATTATAAAAGATGTAGAAAATAAGGCAAGGAAAGAGGACAGGCAGTTCAGAAGGGACAGGTTCGAAGTTTAATGTGGGTTGGGGCAGGCCTCATGGAGAATGTGACATCTGAGCAAACACCTGGAGGAGGTAAGGGAGCAAGTTGCCCTCTGGGGAGAGTATCCCAGGGAGAGGGTAATGTGTTGCCATTCAGCTGGTGATTACTGCTGTGAATAAATACGTCTGTACGTTCTCTGATGAGACTCGAAGACATAGACCCAAGAAACATTTGCATACTTTTGAAACCCTCTAGTACAGTATATTGTCAGCATAGTGTATGTTAATTAAAGGAACAATTAGAGTTTCCAATGAGCAAGTGTTTAGAGATTTTTGAGTTTATATCTGGAAACCAAATTACTTTCTTCTTTGTTTCAGGTTGTTATGGAACACTGGGCATGGAATCTGGCGTGATCGCCGATGCTCAAATAACGGCATCATCTGTGCTGGAGTGGACGGACCACACAGGGCAAGAGAACAGCTGGAAACCCGAAAAGGCCAGGCTGAAAAAACCTGGACCTCCTTGGGCCGCTTTTGCCACTGATGAGTATCAGTGGTTGCAAATAGATCTGAATAAGGAAAAGAAGATCACAGGTTAAGAGACACAATTTTCTAGATGATTTATAATACTAATTTCATTTGGAAACCTGGTGACATCTAAGAATTTCATAGAAAATTAGGTCACTGCAGATTTAATTATATGGTTTTAAGTTTAGTGTACTGGTGTTAATATGACCGAAGTTGGTTTTATAAAGCATGGCAAAGGAAAGGAGTTGGTATTTGATTCTTACTAGCGTTTCTTTTCATTGTAAAGAGATTCTTGTTTCAGTAAAGGGATCTTGCGACATCTGAAATAACCATCTCCTATAGTCACGAAGAGAAATTTGTGTTCAAGGAGTCCATTTTAAGTGCTACAAATAATATTCCATATGTGCCAAGTATAAATTTAATTATTTAGAGCAACTTAACAAATGGTCAGAATAATTGGTTAGGATTGGTTTAGATAATTTTGTTAAAGATTTATTTTGCTTTGGTTCTAAAAATAATACCAGTAATCTTCTTTAATCTATTCATTCCCAGGAAGTCATTCCTTCTCAGTAGGTGAACTGTATTTTGCAGTGTCGTGAACACAAGCTGCCAAAATACAATAGTCCTTTCCTTACGTGTGCCCATCATTCTTCTTGTCTCTACAAGGGAGCAAAGCCAAGGATTTAGTTACCATTAGAATGAAAACGTGCACTTAGATATGGTAATGTGCCAGAGACAAAAATGTTTCAACAGTACATTTTAGGTGTTAATACTTCAGTGATGAACAAACTTCAAAGATCAGACCATGAGCACTAACAAAAGGACCTCTCCATTCCCAGGCATTGTAACCACCGGCTCCACCATGGTGGAGCACAATTACTATGTGTCAGCCTACAGAATTCTGTACAGTGATGATGGGCAGAGATGGACTGTGTACAGAGAGCCTGGTGTGGAGCAGGATAAGGTAAAATGATTACCAGAGTATTTTTAAAGAACATTAAAAAGGGGGGATGGGGGTAGGTGGCCTTTGCCAAACGCCACAGAAGCTCTTCCTGTGTGATATAAAAATTAAATATCATTTGGTCTTACTCTGCCCTCTTCTGGTTATTTTAGGTAGTGTTAGTTATTGGCCTTAACCCTTCTACCTGTGGTTAGGAAATTCTCAGTGCTTCTAGGTCCCTTTTGATGATTGTAAGGGTAAGTACTTGCCTGATTTTTTTTTTCCAGTACATTTTAATTCACTTGTTTAAATAATTCATTAAGAAATAATAAAAAGGAACTTTAATTTCTTGTCCTTAAAAAGCTTTTCTTATCAATCCACAGAATGATGGAGAGCCTAACTTGTTCCTAGATTTCTACTCTAGGCCACCAGGGGTGGGGACAAAAGAGCTAAAGGTAGAAGGGCATTAAATTGTAGGATATTATAGAAAGGTCATGTCAAGATCACCTCACCAACTTTTGTCGTAGAAAACAACTTTTTTTCCACCTGAAGAATTTCCTTAACTTCTGTGGTAATAATGAACTGTTGTTCTAGTTAGCAAAAAATGACAATGCTTAGGGGTAGAGAGAAAGTAGGTAGAGGTGGCTATCAACTAGAGGTTTGTTACTTTCACCTGGGCTCCTGGACCTTGATCCACCCACCACAAGGGGTCCATGTCCCCAAGGAAGGTGGATGCCTCTCATCTAGAATTGAAATTATGAGCACATTTTTTTCAATGAAACCTCCCTGTGAGTTTTGTTTCAATTTTATGATACTCTCAGTTCTCTTTCATATACTTGATATGCTAATATATTTTCACTTGCCACTTTTCTCATCTCTGTTCAAAAAACTCCAGGGATTCCCTTTAATCTTTCATATGGATCTAAACTCTTCAGCTGTTACTCAAGGCCTTCTTTCCTCTCTTCTGCTTGATATCACATGAACTTCAATCTTTGGTGAGCCTCCACCCCTTGAAGCAGATAAAAATATTGTCTCTGAATCTAACTTACTTCTGCCTAATGCCCCCAAACTTACTTTTTACTATTAGCACATACATATTTATTTGTACAATAATATTTGTATTACTTGTAGAATATAATTTTTTGAAATTATAAGTATTATCCATGCTTATATTATTAAAACATCTAACAACACTGAATTATATTTCTGAAAAACTTTTTTTGGCTTCCTTTTTGAAAGATAATTTCACTGGGTGTAGAATACTAGGTTGACAGTTTTTTCTTTCAATACTTTAAATATGCTGGTCCATTGCTTTCTAGTCTGCATTGTTTTCAGCAAGAATTTATTTTAAGCAATTTGATTATGATGTACCTTTGTGTAGTTGTCTTCATGTTTCTTCTGCTTGGATTTCTTTGAGCTTCTTGGATCTGTGGGTTATAATTTCTATCAGATTTGGAAAATTATAGGCCCTTTTTTCTTGAATATGTTGCCTCCTCAATTCTAACTACGTGAAGATTATGAATCTTGAAGATGTATCAGTTCATTGATGCTCTGTTCATTTTTTTTCCAGTCTTTTTCTTTCCATGTTCCAGTTTGGAAAATTTGTATTGTTTTATCTTTAAGTTCACTAATCTATTCCTCTTCAGTGTCTGATCTGCTATTAATCCTATCTGGTGTATTTTATCTCCAACATTGTATTTTTCACTTCTAGATATTCAGTTTTTGGCTTTTAAAATTTCTTCCGTGTCTCTCCTTAACATGCTCATGCTTTTCTTTACCTCTAAAACATATGGAGTATATAATAACCCTTTTAATGCCCTTGTCTACTAGTACTATATACTAACATGTCATATCTGGGTCTTTATATATTGTTAGATAATATGGGTCCTATTTTACATGCCTGGTAATTTTTGATTGGTTACCAGACATTGCTTGGTGTTCGATTTCTTTTTTTTATTATTGCTCCTTTAAATATTTTTGAGCTTTATTCTGGGATGCAGTTAGGTTCCTTGGAAATCATGTGATCTTTTCAAAGCTTACATTTTAGGTTTGTTAGGCAGCACCTGAGCAGTTTTAGTTCTAATTTTTCCCCGGTACTGAGACAATACTGTTCTAAGAACTCAATCCAATGTCCCATGTATATGAGGTTTCTCCAGTCTCTGTTGGCAACATAAGCTGGCCCAGCCCTGTATGGCCCTGAGAATTGTTCTCCTGCTTCTTTCTAGTGGTTTTTTTTCCATCCGCAGATAGTTTAGTTAAAGGTGTAAGGGGAAACCCCAACAGACCCTAGAAGTCTCTGTGTAATTCTTGTCTCTCCCACACTCTGCCCTGCATATTCTAGCTGCCTTAGCCTCTCCATCTCTGAGCTCTCCCTCAATTCAGGGAGACCACCACGCTCTTTCCAGGCAATACTGGTGCAATAGAAGGGCTCACCTCATTTGTTTTCCTCCACTTGGGGAGTATTGCCCTATGCTGCCTGTTACCAGCCTCTGAAAACCATTGTTTCATATATTTTATCTGATCTTTAAGGCAGAAGGATAAATCCAGTCCCTGGTAGTCTGTCGTAGGTAGAAGTGGAAGTCCTTACATTGAATTATATGAAATAACAGTCTTTTTTGCCTCACTTATGTTTGTTCATCTGCTCTCTCATCTACTCCCAACTCAGGGGTAATTGATGTATTCATTTTCATACCCTTTCTAAGCACGCACACATGCATGAGCACATACACAAAGATTCAGGCTGCTTTTGGTTTTGTTTTCAGAAAATGGGAATGTATATACAAGTTGTTTTCATAATATATTGCTTTTTAATAGTATGCCATTTTTGTGTTTGGTAATATCCAATAAAATGTAAGTTCCTTGAGGGTGAAAACTTTGACTTCCATTTCCATTTCACCCTCGTGGCACCTTGTGAGCCTCCACATTACACGGGGGGTCATAATAAATGCTTGTACATTAAATGTAAATCCTTTTTACTTAGTTTTTATGAAATCTTTTTCCTTTAAGTTTTTTATGAAGATGAGATGGCAGTATGGAGTAAAATTTCAGGGATAGTTTTTATGTCCTAAGATGATGATGTTTAGTTATTGTTCCTGTTCCACTAATATAATAGACTGCAAAGAATTGCCTTCATTTTACTTGAGAGTAATATCTGAGGAAATAATGGAAGCTTACTAGTTCAGAGATTATTGTAACTTCAGACCTCTTTAAAAATGAAGGATATTAAATCATCTTAGAAGTTTATAGTCGAATGCCATTTGAATCAGCCAGGAAGAAAATAGCTATAATATTCGGAAAAAACTTGATTGAGGAGTTAAACATTTACTTGTTCTCACATTAACTGACAAAAAACCACTTGGATTTTAGGCAGGCATCTGTTTATTGATGGTCTTTAGAAACTGCCTAGGTAATTTGGCCTGAAGAAATGAGGAGGGCTCTTTTTTGCTTAGTGGAGCCCTATGGTTAAGTCAGAAGACACAGATTCAAATCACTGCTGTAAACTGACTGGCTATGTAGTCCACTTACATTGTATAAACCGCAGTGTTCTGGGTTCTGCCTATTTTGTAGGCTTGTCATGAAGAACATCCGAGTTAATTATATGAAGATGCTTTGTAAATAATTAAGAGTGTTCCAGTGTGAGATACTATTATTATTTGCTTGAAATAGTTGAGGGAATGAAATAGTCACCTGAAATTATATTTTTACCTAAGGATTATTCATGTGATGCATTTGTGGCTATTTAGTTATGATTATTAAATTAGGCAGTGGGCAGCGTCACTTTTCTGGTTCAAATAGCGGGAAATGAAAATGTATGATATGGGAACTGTGTTTATATAGTTTCTCCAGTAGGCAGAGCTATGTATCTGTTATGTGTTTGTTAGTGTATGTTCACTTTCAGTCTGTTTATTGAGAGAAAAATTATGAAAAGTGCACAGTACAGCATTTCCTCTAAGACCTCAAATGTTCAATTATGCTTTACTTTGAAAATAAAATTAATATATTTAAATAGTTGGTGATTCCACAGGACTAGAGTTACTAATTTATTAATACAAGGTACTGTGCACTGCAATCGAAACCTTCTTCCCAAATTGCCAAGTTAGAACTTTTGTTATGTTTAAGTCATCTTAAAATCATTTCTATATTCAGTATTTTCCTCCTATGAAATTTTTATGAAGAGTGTGTAGCTTCTTAATAGTTTTACCAAATTATGATTATTTTCTTAGAAATTAATGCTTAATGTCACATTTTGCAGAACGCATTTAAGGCCCAGAGCAAAAACCAAAAACATGTTTCAGTGGAGCAGTTTAGCCCTGGCCTCTGTTGATGTAAAGTACCAATTTTTGTTGTTTTTTAAAGATATTTCAAGGAAACAAAGATTATCACCAGGATGTGCGTAATAACTTTTTGCCACCAATTATTGCACGTTTTATTAGAGTGAATCCTACCCAATGGCAGCAGAAAATTGCCATGAAAGTGGAACTGCTTGGATGTCAGTTTATTCCTAAAGGTAAAGCAACAGTATGTTTAAGGCATGTGGTTTTCACTGGATTAATTAAAAATGACTGTGCTGTTCTCCGAGAAATTAATTAATAATAATGTAAGTGTTTATACTCTACAGTATGTTCTTAAAGGGATTTTTAAAAAGAAATAGTTATCCCTGTTAAATATCATATTAGATATCAAACTGGTTTCCAAAATTACAAGTGGAAGAAGAAAGAGAGGGTGTCACTGATGACATAATGCAATGAGATTGCTTTCCAAATGTAGTCTCAACCTTAATAATTTTTAATCAGGTCTCGTGTAGTAGAATATTTGTATCATATAAGCACTGGTGATTGTAAGTCACCTTAGCCTAAGTGCCTTTTACTTTGAATAAATTAAAAATGGGAATGACTTCCTTCAAAATTATATAATATTTTAATACTTTGTTTACTGTTGTATCCCCCCAAACTACCATAGTGCCTGACACATAGTGGGCCCTCCACAAGTATTTATGAAATGAATTGAATGAGTAGTATATTATACTGTGATGACATTTTTATAGCTTTATCATTCAACATCATCTGACTCCCTGGTATTCTCCTTCCTAAGAAGATTCTTTTCGGACAATTTAATTATTTAAAAACTCAGAAATCCCAATATATTTGTGCATTTCATGCAGAGTATATTTATCCTTCTGACGTATTTCTCTCTGAGATTTAAAATTACTGTGCAGAATTAAGTACTCTGGGAAATGTTAAAGACATTTAAAATTACTATATTTAACTATGATTTTTATAAGCAAAATGTATAAACTTTTCTAAACCATTTTTCAAGGTCGTCCTCCAAAACTTACTCAGCCTCCACCTCCTCGGAGCAGCAGTGACCTCAAAAACACTACAGCCCCTCCAAAAATAGCCAAAGGTATGCCTACTTTAAATGTGAGAATTTGATGTTCCCTGGATTTGTGGTATAATTTTCCATAAACATATTAAAAGCATTATAAAGTAACTATTTTAATCAAGCTGGTATAGATTAAAGAATAAAAGGTTTTTAAAACTTTTTTCAAGGTCGTGCCCCCAAATTTACTCAACCACTACAACCTCGAAGTAGCAATGAATTTCCTGCACACACAGAGCAAACAACTGCCACTCCTGAAATCAAAAATACCACCATAACTCCAAATGTAACCAAAGGTATGCAAACCCAAAAATTAATACCTGTTCATAGTAGTGAGTTTTTTTGTTTTTAACTTAAGTTTTCAGAAACATTTCCAGCTTTTAAATGCTCAGAATTTTTTCCCTCTGTTTAAGTATAGCCAAAAAATTGATTCCTTACCTTATAGAAAAAGCTGGCTGCATTGCTCTAAGTTCTATTATCTGGTGCCATGTAAAATGGTTCTTTAAATATTTAGAGATGGCTGCTGTATTCTAGGCTTCCTCTTATGACTTTTTTCCCTCTATAGCTAAATATGTGGAGTCTCAGGCTTAGGAAGATAATTTTTCTAGAAATAACTAAAACTATAGCAGGAAACAAACTTTTTTTCTGATTATACATTAATTTGCTGGATAGGGAACTTGGTAGGAAAAAGGGAAGAAGGAAAAAAAAGTTTTGGTGAAAATAAATACTTTTTTTAAAAAAAGATACTCTGTTAACATTTATTTTAAAAATTTGGTCTCTGTTTTTTAAATGTTTACAGTTTTTCAGATTATAAATAATGTTTTTCAATTTACTTTCAAATTTTGCTTTTAATTATTAGTATATAAGGTGTTAACATATATAAAACAGTAGTTTTTTTATTTTACTAGTTTGAAAACAAAATTTCTGTTGAATTTAAGAACAAAAAGCATCAGTGCCATGGAGGAATTAATTTCAGTGTTGACAGATAAAAAGCACACTAATTTTCAGGGCAGTGCAGAGAAGAGAAAGCAGTTCATTCAGAGTAACTTGTGCCACATAGCACTTAATCATTCTCATTTTCTGAAAATTTGCCTGGATTCAGATAACTTTCTACAACTTCCTACATGTCAGTTTCCTTCCTATCGTCTGAAGTATTCCCAGAGAGACCAATTTCTTTCTCATGCTGCAGGAAAAGCTAGTGTTGACTGAAAAACAAAAAAAAACTTACAACCTAAAAGCTGAGAATTATGTTTTATTCAGGTTCTTACTGGGGACAGTAGCCTGGGATACAGCCTCTCAGATAGTTCTGAGAAACTGTTCCAAAGAGGAAGGAGCCAGGATTTATAGGGGTTTATACTGGAAAAAATGTAGTCAAACATCAAAAACTTACTGCTAATCACAAAAACCAGACGTCTCAAGTTAATGATTTTAGTGCTTTTCTATGTGTGGGAAGATGCAAGAGTCTGAGCTCATTGAAATTATTCATTGATATGTATCTTAACTGTTTAGAGCCAGTATTCTGTTTTTCTCCATCCTGAATTCCCCTCAGGGCACACAGTCATGGGGTGGGAGTAGTGGCTGAGGACTTGGTGGCAACTCTTTGAAATGGCAGGGGCAACATTTATTTTGTCCAGTCTAGAGAGAAGCAAGAGTTGACAGAGACAAGAAATTTCAGCATCCCACAAAGAGCTTCTCATCCGTTTACAGAAAGCATGCGTTCAGGTGGAATCCCAGACCACATACCCGGATGGAAAAACAGTCATTTAAAAGTGTTGTTCATCTTAAAATCTGATTATAGAATTTTAAAATCTTAGGACTAAAAGGGTTCTTAAAGCATTTTCTTCCAGAACTAGGATCCCTGTAATCTTTAAAATAACAAAGAACATCTAGGTCTTTTTGGTTGAAGACCTCCTGTCTCCTTTTCTTTGGAACAGTAGTATAAAAACTTTTTATTGTTTTTTTGAACCTAAGCGTATATTTTAATGCCTCTGATTAAGTCAGACTGTATCCATCTGAACCTGATTGTTCTCTCTACAATTTCACAAATTTTAGGGATAAAGCACATTTGCTTTTCTAATTTCTTAGTCCTTTCTATCCTGAGTCATGATTTCTGTTTTATTCACTTCTCCTTTCTCCATTTTTACATCCAGGCTGAGAGTGATGCTCGTGCAAATCATGTCATGGTCAGATCTGTGCCACTGTAATGTCCAGATCCTCCCTCAGTGGAGCCCTCAGTAGCAGCTGGTGGTCTTTCTGTTTCCCTGGTTAGCTCTTTTGTCTGTTCTCAACAGTAGCTGTTTGAAACATTCTCTGTATTTTTCAAACCCTTGACCCAGAGATCCTCAGTCACTCTCAGTTACATCTTCAGCTTCCCAAAGTAGAAGCCATTCGAAGGGCACTTCCTTTTTGTGGAGTCTGCATACTCACCTAGTTCCCATCCATACAGCTTCTCAGAGGCCTGGTTGTTATTGATTATCCTCTCCCTCCCTGTATCTTCAGCTTCTTTTTCTCTTTGGGTGGGATTATAAGGAGTAAATAAGATGCAGGTCTGGTGCTTAGCACCCAGTAAATAGCAGCAGTTGTTGCTGTTATCACTCTCATGGCCAGGAGAAGGTTGAGAGGTGGAGGAAGAAACTAGTGTCCCAACTGACCTTAAGCAGGGCATTTCTGCCCAGGATTCTTTATATGTGGAGTGAGATAAGGGGATTAAGTGATCTCCAAGTCCCTGCAGGCTCCAGCATTGTGTTGGTTTCTGCCTTGTTCGTACACACATTTGATTTCTATACTTAATCCTATATTATTATCTTCCTGCATCTATAAATATTTTGCCATCACTTCCAATTGCTGGATGATATTTTAATATTATATTATAAGGATAATATTTTATTATAAGGAGGAGACCATGATTTACTTATTCCCTTTCATTGTTGGGCATTTGGATTACTTCCAGTTTTACAGTCTTCTGCAGATACAGAAGCAAACGTATTTAAAGATACATCTTTGAATCCCATCTTAAGTTTTTCCTAAGAATAAATTCCATAGAGAATTGCCAAGTAATAGGTTTTTATAGATATTGCCGCAAAATGGCAATCAGAAAGGTAGTTTCAATTTATAGTCCCATCAAAATCCCTGTTTCCTGATACCCTCTTCAACAGTTAGTTGTTCTTTTAAATATTTGCCAATTTGATAAGCAAAAATAGCATCTTTCTGATTACTAGTGAGGTGAACATGCTTAATGGTCACTTGTGCTCTTAATGCGTTGCTCTTTCATCTCTGCTGATTTTTCTGTTGTTTATTTTTTACTTGTAAATTCTGTAATAGATTAACTATATTAACCTTTTATCACGTTTGCAGAAAATACATTTTCCCAGTTTATCATTTGTCTTGGTGATTTAAAAACTGCAAAGGTGGAGCAAATAATGTGACGCACTTCCGTGTATCCATGAAGGCCTCTGCAATTACCACTCGTGCCCACTCTCATTGCATAAATTATGTTTATGGTAGTTTTTTGAGATAGAAAAGCTTTGAATGGTGATATGGTTAATCTGTACTCTTCTCCTTAATGATGCCTTTGGTATCAGTGTGTGTTTTTGTTTGTTTGTTTTTGTTTTTCAGATGTAGCCTTGGCCGCCGTCCTTGTCCCTGTGCTGGTCATGGTCCTTACCACTCTCATTCTCATACTAGTGTGTGCTTGGCATTGGAGAAACAGGTTCGTACAAAACTAGTTCACCTAACTGGTCCTAGAGGGGATGTTTCCAAATGTGAAATAGAAACTAAATATAGAAGATGAACTTCTTTGAGAGGGAGAGTTAAGATAGTCATTAGAATAAAAATATATATACTTCTCCTTTATTCCTGTAAAAAATGAGTAAGTTCAATTCCATAATCAGTTACTGAGTACCTTTATTATATCAAATTTTGTATTATACAATGGGTTATACACATCAGTAAGATATAATAGATACTTAGTAGTACTTTGAAAGAATGAGACACAATTATTATCTCCAGATTGTTTAGCAGGGTTGACCACTATACTTTGGCATGATGAGTTGTATGTGAAGTGCTGGGGAACACAGACGTAAGAACCATGAGAATTACCTGAAACCTTTTTTTCAGAAAAGAGTGTTCCTCAAATTTGGCATGGTTTGCCTTAAAGGAAGGATTAGATTTGGCGAGATAGAGGAAGAGAGAATGGCCCAGATGGATGGGATGGCTTGCAGGAAGGCACAGAGCTGTGGAATGTAGGCAGAACAGTGAGTCATCCTACAGGGGCTTGGCGTGCGGGAGCGCTAGGAGACCCATAGAAATGCAGCCTGGGCCTGGGACCAGGAAGGACTTTCTGTAGATGGGGAAATCATTGAGCAGGGGTCAGCAGACAGGTGATATTATCAGATGATTGTAGGAAAATGGTGGCAGGAGGGTGGATTGAAGAGGAGAGAGAGACTAGAAGAGGCAGAGAGATGAGTTAGGAAACTATTAAAGCCACACAGGAACATGATACAGCAATTCTAGGAAAGGGAGAGACATGGAGGGGGAGAGGTTTCCCAGAGGCGTCAGTGGGGGGCTTGACTGGCTACTTGCTAAGGAAGGAGGAGGATCTAAGTTTCTCTCACGTTTCTGGCTTGTGCAGTTAACCGGTAGAGATGTCGTGAGTAGAGGTAACAGGAGGGACAGAGTTGGTGACTGACAGCTTTGGAGGGACTTCATTTGTCTAGCCATCCAACAGATATTTGAGCCTCATACTCCCTGCCAAGTATTGAGCCGTGTGTTGGGAGTCCAGTGGTGAACCCCAGAGTCTATGGATGGGAGAGGATACTTTGCAGAAAACCTTCCACCATGGAACCTGTTTGTTGCAGGGCCCAGCAGTAAGGGCAGGTAGGGATCACGGGATTGGAGATAAAACAGTAGCCAATATTCAACTCACCACTCACTCGGTTTACTATACATAATTAGCGCACAACACAGGTTAGGCAAAGTGTGGGGGGGTGGGTGGGGGAGGAGGGTGTAAACGAACCACTCCAAGGAGAATCCTTGAAGGAGGCATCTCAGCACCAACAGCAGCACATGACAAGTGAGAGTGGGAAGTCACCCCGGCTCCAGCAGGGCCGTAGGCGGCCTCCATCTGGAACAGCTCTCAGCAGCATGGGGGCCTCCAGCCAAGATCCTTCAGGTCACTCTGTTCAATGGTCTCCTCTTAAGGAGTAACTGTTACCCCTGGGGAAGAGTCTGGACTCCTTCAGTTGCTGTCTGTTCCCATGCCATACATGGCCCATCAAACTTCTTGTCTAATGTAATATTCTCAGTTTATCATTCGAGGACACTGGCAGTCCTACAGTGGATGTTTCAAAACAACTCATAGGCAAGTTCGTCTTGGCCACTGGGACTCCATTTTGAACTACGTAACATGTCTTAAATAGCTTAAATCCTCTAAATTTCACCCAAGATGAGTAGGAATCATAACCGTACCAACCACAGTTTGTTCCACGGGTGGAAGGAAGCTGGAGGAGGCGGGGGTCCCGGATTCCTGGTGTTGGGGGGCTGTCTGTACAGAACTGACAACTTAGCATGAGGGCATGAGGCAGGGGAGGAGGGAACAGGGCTCTGGGAGGGTCCAGGAAGGAAAGTTCACGATGCTTTCAGGGAACCGGACAGCAACAGTAGTAGTGGTGAGAACAGTAGCAACGGCAGTTTCATAGAAAATAAAATGCTGGTTTTACACGTTTTTCTAAATGCCTTACATGTTTTAACTCATTTACTCCTTAAAACAACCTGTGAAGCAGGTGTTGTTATAAATCCCATTTTATAGAAGAGGAAAGTGAGACTGAGAGAGCACAGGTAACTTGTCCGAGGTCACCTGGTCAGCACATGGCAGGGTGGAGATTTGGTCCAGGCTTCAGAGCCCGTGCTGTTAGCCGCTGCAGCCTCTGATCAATCGGCAGTTCAAGTCTAACTACTCTGTGGTTAAAGCCTCAGGGCGTGGGGGTGAGGACAGAGGAGTACAGCTGTTGAGAGGCAGGAGGCAAGTCCTGAGATCAGTTTGGGATGGCATTTAAAGGACTCTGGGCATTCAGACTCCCAAGAGGCAAGATGGAACACAAGCCTGTTCAGGACAGAAGGTCTGAGCTGCAGAATTGAGGTTACTTCTACAAACGTAGTGGATGAAATTGCTGACGACTGGCTTTGTGACAAGGAGTAAAGAGGAAGCGCCGTTAAAGGGCTTATGGAAAATAGCCAGGAGAAAAGTAATAATAAAAACAGCTGCAAGTTACTGAATCCCTAACCCATGCGGGGCACTGTTCTAAGTACTTTACATGTAACGAATAAATCACCTGCAGCTTTGTCACTGGAGATCAAGAATATGAAATCCTTTATAGTACAACCCTTGGACAGCTTCAGCACCTACCATCTCGTCCACAAATTTTACGCTATACCTTACTTTGAAATAATGAAGTATTATATTTTAAATACAGCTAGACTTTAAAATGAGGGAGCTTTTAGTATCAATAATAAAAACATAGTCTTATACTAGAGAAGAATGTTTCGAAGTAAGAAAAGCACATAGCTTGGGCTCTTTGAGAAAGCCCCATTTGTGATCTTCAGCAAGTCACATAACCATCTTTTCCTCATTCACAGCACTAGAACTTTCTCTTTAGCTTGCAGAGCATTATTTTAATTAGGTGTACATCAGAAAATGTCCTTTTGTGTGCTTGATTTTTTTCTTTTTAAAAGGCTCACGGTAGATAGCAATTCTTAATGTTGGGGAGGGACAGAAGTTTCTCCAGGGGAGGATGTGTCAGAATTCTGAGGAGCAGGCTGGGGAAGAACGTTCTTCGTTGCACACGTGGCCCTCGGTCCCCTCACTGTTAGTGACAGCGTTGGCTTATCTTGCGCAGGGTGGAGGAATCAGGTCTGTGCAGTTAAGGGTGTGTGACACTTTAAACTTTTCAGGGGCAAAGGACTGTAGAAAAAAAGTAAGTTGAAAAAAAAAGTAACAATGCAGAAGAAAATATGGGGGTTTTGTTGTTCTTGTTGTGTCCTGTGAACTTTGTGAACTGACTGATTTGTGAAATCTGTATTTGAAACCAAAACAAACCTAACATGATTTCCCCATAATAATCCACCTGTCAGGGTTGGGTCTTTGATTTGATTCAAGGTTTTTATCTACGTAGTCTTTTTTTTTTTTTTATCCCTTTATCCATTTGAGTGGAAAATAGTTGGGTAACAAGATAACTGTCTCAGGAGATAGTTGTTTAATATTTATTGAGAGTCCAGAATTCATGAGCCTCAGCAGTGGCAACTTCAAAAGTCAAGTGAAAGAGGTCTCCCAGGGAAATCAGCAAGTAGAAATGTGTACTCTTGACTAATTATTAGCTTTGGTGTTTATACTGCAGTTTCAGAACTTTCTTACTAGTGAATTCACTCTATTTGCTAACTTTTTTTTTTTCCTGTATTTTTCCAGAAAGAAAAAAGCTGAAGGCACCTATGACTTACCTTACTGGGACCGCGCAGGTAATTTGTGGCTTTACATCTCTTTCCATCAGAGGGAAGCCCCTGCCCTCCAGCTGGCAGCAGTGAAAGAGGAAAGCCATTTTCAGGCCCACATAAACTCCCTAGCACTGTTAGAAAAATGGCATTCCTCTTCTGTTCTGATCATTTTTACTTTTCTGTAAAATCTCTAGTCTGTAAGTAATGAAATGGGAAGTAAGAATTTCTCATAACACATGCTCTGTTCTTTTCCTTTTGGAAAACTTGTCTGGTTTGTCCCATGTATGTATCGGTCTTGAGGAGACCAGCTTTCTGTGTGGTGTACGTGAACACTAGGTAAGAAGCAGAGGATTGCAGTCCTGGTGACACAGTGTGTGTGTATGTGTATGTCACTCTGCTGTGGATATTTACCGCAGTGGAGTTCAGCGTTTTACGAGGCAGTGAGGTCTGCTCTCTCTGCCAGGAGTTGTCATCTTCCGAATTCCTACTCTCTGTGGCAGGTGACAGGTTGCTGCAGGTGACACCAGGGGTCTTCTGCGGGCAGGCCTCCCACTTCCCAGTCTCACCACTGGAATGACTGTTAGGGGTCAAAAGAATTCACTGTGACGAGGGTAGAAAAGAGCAGTGATGGGGGCAGGTCTTGGGCTGCTACTACTCACCGTCGTCCCCCCGCCCCCCGCAGAGTTGATCTTAGAAATTTTTAAGCTTATTAAAACTTATTAAAGACCACTGCTATAACAAACTATATCTGGCTGCACTATAGTAGCCGTGATTTGCTTCAATATATGCTTTTGATAGAGATTTCTACTGTGTTCTGCTTTGCACTGGATAGTCTTATCAAAGCAAAAAATAAGTTTGAACAACTTAAGGAACTAGAAAAAGAAGAACAAATTAAACCCAAAGCTATAGGGAAGAAGGAAATAATAAAGATTAGAGAAGAGAGGAACAAAATAGAGAATAGGAAGAAACAGAAAACAGCAAGTGTTGGCAAGAATGTGGAGAAACTGGAACCCTTGTGCACTGTTGGCGGGAATGTAAAATGGTACAGCTTCTGTGGAAAACAGAATTTTTTGTCAGTTCCTCAAAAAATTAAAAATAGAATTACCATATGAACCAGCAATTCCACTTCTAGGTATATACCCAAAAACATTGAAAGCAGAGTCTTGAAAAGATATTTTTACATCCATGTTCATAGCAGCGTTATTCAGAATAGTTAAAACATGGAAGCAATCCGGGTATCTATTCACCAATAAATGGATAAGCAAAATGTGGTTATACACATAAAATGGAATATTAAGCCTTAAAAAGAAAGGAAATTCTGCAATATATACTACATCGTGGATGAACCTTGAGGCGATTATGCTAAATGAAATAAGCCAGTCGCAAAAAGAAAAATAGCATATGATTCCATTCATACGAGGTACTTAGAGTACTCAAAATTATAAAGACAGAAAGTAGAGTGGTGCTTGCCAGGGGCTGAGGGGAAGAATCAGGAATTACGGTTTACTAGGTATGGAATTTCAGTTTCACAAGACAAAGTTCTGGAGATGGACGGTGGGGAGGCTTGCACAACAGCGTGAATATGTGTTTAATAACACTGAGCTGTTCAACTGAAAATGGTTCAGGGTGTTCCTTGGCGACCTAGCGGTTAGGACTCCAGGCTTTCACTGCTGTGGCCCCGGTTCCATCCCCGGTCAGGGAACTGAGATCCTGCAAGCCATGCAGCGTGGCCAAAAAAAACGGTTAAGATAGGAAATTTTATGTTGTGTGTATTTTACCACCAGAACCACCACCAAAGAAACCAAAAAACCTTGAACACAAAGGCTGGTTTGTATAAATATTTGTTATAGAAATGGCTTAAATGCAACAGGATTTCTCCCTTCATATACTGTTATCATTTCAAACATAGCTTTCTATGTAATGGTCTCTTTTGCTTACGATCACAATGAAGGTTGGTGGAAAGGAATGAAGCAGTTTCTTCCTGCCAAATCAGTGGAGCACGAGGAAACCCCAGTTCGCTACAGCAGTAGTGAAGTGAATCACTTGAGTCCTAGAGAAGTCACCACGGTGCTGCAGGCTGACTCTGCAGGTAACTAATGCAGCCACCATGGGAAGGAGAAGCTGCCGCACTCACTGTAAAGTGCTGTGAGATTTGCAGTACCCTTTATCTGTTTCATGTATAGGAGATAAGCTAGTTTCCAAATATAGAACCACTTTTTAAAAAGAGCTCGAGAGGGCTTCCCTGGTGGCGCAGTGGTTGAGAGTCCGCCTGCGGATGCAGGGGACACGGGTTCGTGCCCCGGTCTGGGAAGATCCCACATGCTGCGGAGCGGCTGGGCCCGTGAGCCATGGCCGCTGAGCCTGCGCGTCCGGAGCCTGTGCTCCGCAACGGGAGAGGCCACAACAGTGAGAGGCCCGCGTACCACAAAAAAAAAAAAAAAGAGCTCGAGAGAGTCATTTCTGTGTCTTAGATGTTCTATCCATAAAATTGGGGTACTCATTTCTAAAACCTTTGGGCATTTTGTCTGCTTACCTGAAATTCCGTTTGGTTTTATTGGGCATTTGGGAGTTTTAAAAGGAGAGCAGGAAAGACACAGTGCCCTCACAGTATTTATCCTATTAACCTAGAATATATTTTCAACATTTCCTAATATTTGAAAGAGAAAAAAAAAATCTATGAAATTATTTTCCGAGACGAATATTATTTCAGTAATGGAATATTTATTCTCCAATGAAGTACTGTCTATAAATCTGAAGAACATACACACTCTGCAGACTTCCATGAAAGAAGCTTTCTGGCACATCGGTTTATTACCATGAGATATAGGGTAACATCTTTAGTTTTAATTTTTGAAGTTAGTTGTTGTGGGAAGATCCATCAGTCTCCGTTGATAACAAACGTGGCATAAAGAGGTGTTTGTTTTCGGTGCAAGCCTGCAGCTGCCACCCTGAATTATAGGATCCCTGCCTTAATGAGATAACTTTTCTGTTGTCTGTGTTTTGCGATACCCACAGAGTATGCACAGCCACTTGTGGGAGGAATTGTTGGCACACTCCATCAGAGATCTACCTTTAAACCAGAGGAAGGCAAAGAAGCAGGCTATGCTGACCTAGACCCTTACAGCTCCCCTGTGCAGGAAGTCTATCATGCCTATGCTGAACCACTCCCAGTTACTGGGCCCGAGTACGCAACCCCAATTGTCATGGATATGTCCGGGCACCCCACAGCTTCGGTTGGCCTGCCCTCAGCGTCCACTTTCAAAGCTGCAGGGAACCAACCTCCCCCTCTGGTGGGAACATACAACACTCTTCTCTCCAGGACTGACAGCTGCTCCTCAGCCCAGGCCCAGTATGATACGCCGAAAGGTGGGAAGCCGGCTCCAAGTGCCCCAGACGAGTTGGTATACCAAGTGCCACAGAGCACACAGGGGGTATCAGGAGCAGGGAGGGCTGGCGAGTGTGGTGTTTCTAAAGAAACCCTTTGAAGGTGATGCTGCCTTTTACAAAGCATCATTTTAAAGCACATGGCCTTTTTTAAATTGTATTAGTGGTAGTAATATATAGAACGTATTACATATCTGTCACGGACGTGGTTGGGGGAAATGTGATGACCGAGGTACAGGAAACTACTAATCTTGCCATCTTGCTTTAAAAGTGTTACTGTAGCACAGTTACTGCTTGCCTATTAAATTTCAAATATCCTGTTTGTTACTACTGTAAAACACTATTTTATACAGAAAAAGCTCCCTACTATGCACTTCAAAGAAACTAAAAATCACTGAGAGTATTTATTACCAATGCTGCAGTTACATTGATGAACTCGAGATGGCTCTGTAAGCCTTTCTGGCAATAACGCACGGTACTGTTATAAAATGTCTGATGGCTTGAAATTCTGCTCTTTGTGAAAGGTGGGTACTATCATGACTTCTTCCTCTTCTATTCCTATATTGCTTTCTGAATTTTTTTTAAAAATAGTGGCATAATCCTTGTTTTGATTGCAGTCATATATACTTATCCATCTTTCCTTAGGAGGAGCTATAGCTGGGAAACTGACCTGTAGTGAGCAGAGTGATTTTTCACTTTCTGACACTCTAACGAGCTTTAACATTTCATAGTTCATAACTTGGCCTCATCCCTGCTTGCTCCACCTGGGGCCCTTGGTGGCCAGCCCCGTTCTTGTGTTTATAAATGCTTGAGTTTTTTCAGTGGGTGATGCTTGCTTTATCAACCTCATTATTTCAGATCCCCTAATGTTTCCATGTGGAAACAGGAACAACTTTACAAATTAAAAAAGCTGTAAAGGAGATTCTTCGCCCCGAACTTTACTTGCAATGGAATTTTTCCTAGGAGAGTTGTGAAAAGTTGAGGGTTTCTAAAAGTGAACACTAAACAATACCCACTTATATTTATCATGGTGAAAGGCAAAATCATGACTCCTCGGGAGTCATATAAATTACCACTCCCCGCCGCCAAAAAAAGTAACCGAATTTGTCCTCTTTGGTTTTATGTATACAGGTTATTCTTTGAATCTCAAGGTAATTTGTTGTTTTTAGTTGAATAAAGAAACACTTGTTTTCCACAGTAAACTACTATAAGAAATGTAAACCCAGCGTGTATTCTTCAGCTCTGTGTGATTATGCCATCTATGTGGTAGGGGGTGCAGTCCTTTATATTATACCTAGGGAACGAATGTTTCAGCATCCTAGCAAGGGAAAATTCCTGTCTTGTTTTTGATACCTCTGGGCAACTTCTTTGTCACCATTTGCCCAGAACTAGTTTAAATGACTGAAATAGAAACCATGTGCAGTTTATTAGTGTTAGTGTAGAAACCATCTTTAAAAGTTTTTAGACTGGTAAGATGATATGGAAGCTGACCATATGATTAAAATATAGAAACTTGGCATCCCGTCTTCTATCAATATAAACCTTAGTTTGCAGACTTAATATTGAAATATACTTCCCCATCAGGTTCTAGTTGTTTCTTTTAGCCTGTGCCACCAGATGATGGCAGAATATGCTAAATTTGACTAATGATGTACAGTGTTCATTTTGCTTGCTTCCATGAGTCTATCAGTCTTGTAAAACGTTGCTTCAAAACAGAACTGCCTATTTCTACAGCCTCTCTGCCTTCTAGTTGTATGATTTTGTTGGTCTTATTTTCAGTGGCTTTTCCTTTTTCCAGCAGACTTTTGAGGCATAATTTTATTCACTGAAAAACCAATACACATTTTGTTTCAAAATATTTGAAACAAAAAGCACAGATGTTGAACTTTTATTAAAACCTATGAATGTGTGAAGCACATGTATTAATGCAGCCATCCCCTTTCAGGTGGGAAGAGAGTAAACCAATTGCTTTATTTTTTTATTCGTCCTTAGTATACAAAAATATACTTTTTCTCAAATCATATGCCTGTTTGAAGCTTTAAGAGAAATGATTTCAGTAACTATTTCATTTTTCCAAAGATGCTTGCTATTTTTGTGTGTGCCTGATTGTTTTCCCATAGAATTTTTTTTTTGAGAAGCAAATGTTTTCTTAAATAATGCATGTTTTAAGACTTGATTCATATATTGCCACTGTGCTGTTTTTGAACTACCAATAATTTTTATAAAATACCTAGTTTTTACTACTATTATATATTTTACTTTCCAAATGAAGAGCTGAGCCTGATACAAAGGGTTGTACTGGTTTGTACTTTTTCTTTTAATTCGTATATTTTCATATTAGAGTTTTGTTTTGGGTTTTGTTTTTTTTTCCTAATGTTACTATGTCTGCTATATATATACAGCTTTGGAGACAATCAAGTAACAACTGAAAATGTGAAAGTAACCATTTTTTACAAAATTCCCTTGGAATTTTTATTCTTTGCTTGAAACATGTAAAAGATTTAACTCACTGTGGCTTATTGGCTTAAATTCTTTCCTGTTAATGCAGTTGTAAAAGTAGAATCAGACAGTGGTGCAGGAAATGTGGCCCTTAAGGTTTCATAAAATGACACTGGCTTCGCTGTTACTTGACCTTGGGAACCGGCACAGTTAAAGGGAAGATATTGTGAATGCTGATTTATATTTTATTGAAAACTGTAAATCTAAATAGATCCTATTGCGTATGCAGGGTCTAGCCCAGTTATTTAAGTTCACGTTTCACTGTTTGCACTTTGTATTGAACAATGGGTTTATTCGCTGTTGAAATGGTTCGAGCAGAGGATTTATTCAGTAACTGAAATTAGGATGTTACTATACACTTGCCCTCCCCCCCTACACCCCGCCCCCTCCCCCGCACTGGAGGGAGCAGAAAATGAGCTCGTTTAAATATGAATGTGGTTGTAATTCTATGGAATGTGATAAAGCTTGAACTTCTTTCCCTGGGCTCCACATCGTTACCTGGAGAGCAAGAGGGTTACAGAAACACCATGTCAGATAATACAATTCGAAAGAATGAATAGATTAGGTGGGACAATAAAAGCTTTTCAGCCCCTCTTAAGAGAAATCAATGAAGCTCTGCTTATTAAAAAAAAAAAAAAAAATTACCTACTGGCTCTGCCTTTCAGTTCTGAACTTGAAGTCCCTAAACTGCAAAATCTAAGGAAGAGTTGGATACTTTTAGGTCAATTGTGGCACCAGTTCTCATTTAATCCAACTTGTGACTAGTTTCTTCTCATCTCCTCCTCTTCTTTTTTTGGCACTGGGAAAGGTAGAAACAAAACATGTATTGAAATACGTATTGGAAATAAAAATGGCTTGAGTGTCAGTGATATTCTCCCAGAATGTACTTTTCTTACCTCGGCATGTACTGTAGTCACTCAGTATTTGTATATGTTGCTAGAATTTAGACTGTATAAATAGTGAGATTTTAATGTGTTCATGTGTTTTTAATAAATTGTATATATGTCTTGTTCAGGTTTTTTGTTTTTTGCTTAAATAAAAACAACCTTGAGGTTTGTAACCTTTCTCATACCATGCAAAATGCCAGATCCCTCAATTTTAAGATCAGGTTTTTATGGCCAATATTATAGTACTTACAGTAACATTTGAAAATGCCACCATTGGGGGGTTGGGTTTTTTTGTTGTTGTTTTTATAAATTTATTTTTGGCTGTGTTAGGTCTTCGTTGCTGTGCGGGGGCTTTTCTCTAGTTGCAGTGAGCAGGGGTTAGTCTTGGATGCGGTGCGTGGGCTTCTAATTGCGGTGGCTTCTCGTTGCAGAGCACGGACTCTAGGCGCGTGGGCTTCAGTAGTTGTGGCGCACATGCTCAGTAGTTGTGGCACATGGGCCTAGTTGCTCCGCGTCTTGTGGGATCCTTCCCGGAACAGAGCTCGAACCCGTGTTACCTGCATTGGCAGGCGGATTCTTACGCACTGCACCACCAGGGAAGTGCCTACCGTTGGTTTTTGACATTGACTTTTTCTGTAGCCAGCGCCATCCTTTCTGAAGCCCAAATTACTTTACATCAAACTCAGCTTCAGCAGCCCAGCTGCAGCCTATGGCTGTGTGGTATGAGGGAAAGATCACATTGAACAGCAGTGCCTTTTCCACCTCAAAGAAAGAAGTTACCAGAAAAATCAAATGAGACTGGTACGGTGCAAACATATGCTGGGATTAACAGAACAGAGTCCATATTTATTGCCTAGGTCTGGGTTAAGTCAGCTACTAGTTTTGTCCCCCTTACACCACTTTCAAGTATGTCAGTCACTTATTTCTGTTTCTGATCTAATAGTATTTATACCACTCTCTTTAGAGATGCAGGCTAGTTAGTGATAATTATCACTGTCTCCCAGTGATAATTATTGTTCAAAAGATGCCAGTTCTTTCCACTCCTACCTCTTCTGACAGCTTTTGATTCCAGCCTTATAACCTCCACTGTTCTCTTCACCCCTTGTCCCCCTCCCTCCCCATAGCCTTTGGTTATAGTCAGACATTAAAATGAAAAGGGAGACGACTAGCTCACCACTTTTGTCCAGCTGGCTTGTTTGCATCCCACAACAGTCTTCTCTGGTGCACCCTAGGTAAGCTTTCCATTTGAAGATGCGATTTAATCATGTGGACAATTGGTTTTTCATGAAAATGACATTTAAATCCAGAAAAAGCTTGACTCTTCTTAAAGGTTTACTCATTCATGTCTTTCCTAATTTACTTCCAATAAACTTTGGAATTTTAATGAATAAATTAAACCAGGCAGAAAATGTTTTAAGAATTTTCTCCTTCTTGAGCTTGCCTAGTTCAGCTTGTTTGTATAAACTTTATTTCTTTAAAATAATGCAGTCACCAGACTTTAGGAATTGCATTCTTTCTTTGGTTATTTACTTATCCAGAGTTTCATATTTATCCTATTTCTTTCGACTTAAAAAACATCTTCATTCTACCAAACTACTCATCATAATCATGGTTTACCTTAACTGTAGGAAAAAAATGCTTAATTAAGCCAGTATGATCTTAGGTTTCCCTAATCATCCATGCTTAGGGTCTGGTTTAAGATTCCGGTCAGGTTCCTCAGGTAGAACAAAAAGGAACCAAACAAACAATCAGTCAATCATCCAGAGAGAGAGAGATACAGAGGCCTGAAGTGGTTCCAGTATGCCACATTCAAAAGGCACTGCTGCATGCCAGCTCCCCACCAATATACAGGAGGCAGCTAAACCTCTCAAAATGTCACGTTACATTCAAAATCTGCTGTGGTAAACTAAATCCCCTTACTTATTAGGAAGTCACATCCCTTCAAAAGTCTAAGATGACGTAACTATAAAAAGATGCTTAAAAACACCTCAGAAAACTAGCTTATTTTTAAAACAATGCAATGAAAAATTCACTCTCCCTGATATCTTGGCATGTCTTGGTTTCCATAAATTAAATATATTCACAGAAATTAAGCTGGTGGTTATGAAGCACCAGGCAGCAACAGACTTAATATAATTTCTTGACAAGTACATCCAACATATTTAAAAATAAACTAAAAATTGCAGTGTAAAAATAAAACTAATACTGTTAGCATCATCTCCTGAGTCTGTAGGGTCAATCTTGAGTCAAGTCGATTACAAAGTTTTTTTCTATAATGTCCTTCAGAAAGAGCTGCTCTGCAGTCACATTGTGATACGCATTCTAAAGAAGAAAAATAAAATAAAATCACCATCTATCCCAATCTCAAGATGTTAACAACAGCAGCAACGGAATATGCTGTATCTAAAAAGCTTAATTAAAAACAAGTAACAAGTGGCACCGACTTTTAACTTATCTTTCTCATTTCTTTTTCATTGCTCATTCTTGTGCCAGAGCT